TGTCATAACTTTAAACTTTTGTTGTCTTCAAGTTCTTTCCTTGAACTTGAGATACCGTCAAATATGGATTTCCGCTTGTAGCTAACATAAAATATAAAATTTTTGTATAAATTAAGAAAAATCTGTATTAAATTTATATATATATATATATATATATATATATCGATAGAAAAAAATTAATACATCGATGAAACAAGATCATGTTTAAATACATTGCAAATGAAAAACAGGTAATCATGTTTTTATGCGTAGAATTGAATAGCGTATGAAAATACTAATAAGACTATCTTGTGAAAAAAGATACGGCCAGGACACAGACATCAAATAGATAGTTCGACACTGAACATGATTACGGTGACCGTGCACTTGAATTACGACACAATAAGTTGTTGGCGAGTCAAGTGGCAAAATTACGGCCAGCCACGTGTACTGACTAATCTATGCCATCTTATTTAAGTTTTCGATCAAGTATAATCAAATGTAAACCAAACAATAAAAAAATTGATGAACTTTTATATGATTTATGTCCTGACATAAACGAGGAATATAAACGATTCATTTATACATCATTCATAGAATTACAATCTTCTGTAATTAAAAAAAATAGAGTTCAAAAATTCGTTTAGAGAAATAATTGATAAATTATGAATAAATAATAATAGAGAAATTGTCGACTTAAAGTGACTTTCATTTAACGATTTATTCTGTTTTGATTAACGTCCGAATTTGATCAAAAATGAAGTAAATTCTATTTAAACTACCTAATCTGATTTTTACTATATAAATTGTAGTTGTTAGCATATTGAATCTCCTTCATTTTCTTATTTCTAATTTTTAATATTTTTTTTTTTATCCAGACTATTCAATTAACGACTTTTTTGTCCAGATCGTTCGATCTGTTTTCATAACTTATATCAAAACTTCATATTGTCACGATCAATAATATCGAATAGAGTTGTGAACATTTTTCCAATGGTTACTCAAGGTTTAACTGTATCAGAAATCAAATTGCGATACAGTGGAAAGCTATATTATGGATATGTATTTTTAATGTCGTTCTAGCGTGAACCGGTTGAAGCATAAGATAAACAGAATTGGAAGTACACGTCACAGTTATTTACTGCACGGTAATACCTGAGTATTACTTTACAATAATCGTATCGTATTCCTACATAATTGGTTTATTCCTTTGTTACATACATACATGTTAGCAATGTGGTATTTATTTGTAGGAAAAAAAATTGTAAGATACACGCTGGCGCAATATTTTCCACTTGAATGAGATCGTTAACGATAAAAGGATCAAATTAGTATTTTACGTATTTCTGACATGATTCAGATCTTGATAGGATTATGATCCTAACCTACAAATGCGTATATTTTTATGGGAATTTTAGAAATTGATAATACTGTAATTAACTAAATAAATAAATTTCATGGAATTCCGTAATAAAAATTTCACGAGTGATAAGCATTACTTGTAGATTACAATTTGTGTTATGTATATATCTTCATTAAAGATGTCTGAGTTTCTAATTTAACTTAATTAAATAGAAAAATAGCAGAAAATATTTGTAACATTTTTATGTGCAGTTAATTTACTATAATAAAAATAACATTTTTACTTTTATAATTTCGGAGTAACTACGTATTTGTTTTAGTTTTAAATATACTAAATATACTATCTGATTTAAAAAAAGAAACGTTACCTGCCTTTCTTAGAAAAAATGGAAGACTTTGATAAAGAAGATAATTACAAATTTGAATGCAGCAGTCCATTTCAGTATATTGTTCTGATATTCAATTGCAAAAAATTTAATAATTTATAGAGTTTACTTTTCCATTTAAGAAAGAAAATTATAAAAAGTAAATAATTAATTTAGTAATTACATCGAGTCCGATTATTAATGCATAATATGTAGACACTAATTATAAAAATAATAATTTTTTTGTTGAAGTATATTTAGACGATAACAAAAGTAATAGCTATTATAAATGCTATAAATGCTAATTTAAAAGGAAAAGCTATTTTATCAATTTATGCATAAATTCCAAAAGAAAAAAATCTAGAAATACTTTTTAACT